TTATTCCTGCGTCTTTTGCGATCTTACAAAGCTTCAAACGACACGATTTTGATAGTCGACGTAATCGTGACTAGTCGACAAATCGTAGCAGCCCTAGTTGATATGCTGCTTAGCAATGGTGGTCACTGTCAAAGCAAAGAAGATGAGATCCCAGTTAAGGAATCAATGAGTGATATAGATGAGAGAATCAGAATCTACCAGAATAAACTAAATTCTTAGCAATTCTCACCCCTTCCTATTATCCATTACCTACTCCTTCAAAATTTCTGTGTAATCAAAGTCATGTTACCTGGATTTTATTCTGTTATTTTTTTTTTAAATTATATTATTGCACACAAAATGTCTAAGAAGAAGAAAAATTGTATTAAACTAAAACAAAATACAATACTATTCCCTAAAAGTAAATAACACCCAGGTGGACGTTTTCACTCTTGGAGTGCTGCTTGAGGGTAAAACTGCTTCTGTGTCTGGACAGTAACTGACAGAAGTTTGAAGATATTTAACAAGCCAATGTGCATAATAATGAATCTGGTACTTTGAAAAACAAGCCTGGGCAGGGTTGGGAGTTGTTTTTTTTTTTGGTTTTTTTTTTAGTATTCTAAGTAGAAATGGTTTCTTCCAAATTGTTTTATAAAGCATGTGTGGGATGCCCTGTGGGCCTGGTCTTTGCCGTTTTGTAAAGATTTAAATGAAACCTCAGTAATGGGACAATAGAATTCCTCATTCACATTTAGCAGTTGCAGTTTAGCACAGCATTTTAAAAAGACAAACAAACAAACACAAAAAGCAAGAATTCCACTTGCACTGGAGGTTCACTTGAGGAATAATGGGCAGGGAAAAGGAACCAGATCAACCTTATTTACAAATTGAGATTGAGTGGCAGGTCCATGATGGAATGCAAGCATAAAGCCAAATCTTGTTAATGTGATCATTTGAGAACAAGATGACACAGGATTTTGAAATTCATATTATCTGCTAGGAGGCTGCTCCAGTCTTTCTCTCATCTACAGCACAGACCAAGGGCACCATTAAAAATAGAACAAAATGCAATATTGTTGCAAACATGACAAGACCTCTGCCCATTTGTCACATGAAGACTGAAGCAATCCTGGCTGCTGTGGCGCCAGAGGCAGGGTATAACTGAGACGGGTAGTTTGTCACAAGAGCGAAATACTGGCAGAAAATGAGTACTCTTGTAAACCTGTGAGTTTAATGTTTTATAGCTCAACACTTGTCGTCTTTTCTAATGTGACAATTTATCACATCTGAGCTCTGAATAGGAAGGTGAGTCTAATCTGTTTCTCAGTAGTTCAATTCCTTGGAATTGTTAGTCAACGCTAGTCGGCTCCACTTGCACTATACTCCACAGATTTCAGTTTATGCCACAGGAGGAAAATAATGATGTCATCTACAAGGAGCAGAAAGCTAAACTCACCTGCAAATGCCATTTACATCCACTGCTTAGTTACATAATGCAATGATTGACTGCGTAGTTTACAAACATCCAAAGCTGTCGGATGAAACTGTAACAGCTGTGCAGGATAACAGAACAGCTGCAGTTATCCAGAGCTTGTTAAAACTATACTTCCTAAAGTTTATGCTTGGGTTTTTGTTTTTAAGCATGGCATCATTTGCATCTCTCTTTAGACCTCAGCCATTTATTCATAGCTATAAAGTGTGGCTGTAGTACCAATAAAATTACTATAATACACATACTATACCTCCCCTGACAAAGACCTTGTACCCTTTTCTTCTCTTGGAACATCCAAGACGTTATTTAGATGAATAGAAGTTGAACATCAAACAGGAATGTAATTGGTGAATCAAAATACATTTCAAGGTTGACATCAAATTTACCACTTGTGTTCAAGCAACTCTCTTAATGTCAGGAATTCTAGAATTTAATTTCTGACTAGAATTCATTTCTAAATCAGCCTGTAGTCAATAAGCATGGTTTTCACACATCCGTAAGAAGTTGCATTTAGCTTGAAATGTTCCTCATACAAATGTTTGTGTGCTGTTGTGGCTTTCAGGTGTAGCTGCTAGTGTCTTGAGGAAATGCCACTGAGGTTTCGCTCTGTTGTACCCTATACACTGCCCGGAGTACTCGCACTGATTGGATGGTGGTGGTACATCTCACGAAAGAGAGAGCGGCTCATCAACCATGACAGGACTGAGGGAACTCCAACCACTACGGACCTTAAAACATCTTCAGCAGATGGTAGCAATGGTTTGGTGGAGAAAGACACTGTATCCCCCACAAATGACACAGACGGCCCCATTCACAGACCTCCAAATGCCAGTAACCAGAGAACACAACATGAAAACATTTCACAGATCCATTTCCAGCACACTGAAGCATCACCGTCACTGGCACAAAGTTCTGAAAAGTTTTCATGTAATTCTGAGAGAATGAAACAAGGAGTCCATAGGCCTCCACAGTCAGCACTGCCATCACTTGATAAAGATGACAGCTTACAGGTATCATCAAAAGACCGTAAAGACCCAGAGAGGAGCTTGTCACTTGCCTTGGGAACAGAGCTCAACCTAGTGAAAGATCCAGTATCTGATCTAGAAAGAGCCACATTTTCCTATCAGTCTACCAAAGTCACCAGCTCCTTTCCCACAACATCGCTGCTTTCTGGTGCAGAGAGACCAGACCCAGAGGGGGAAGTTGCAAAGAACCACAGCACTAATAATACACAAGATGAAATGATTGGTTGGGATGAGCATGCATCCAATGTAGAGAGGGTGGACCCATCAGAAGCAGACTCTTTGGATACACCTCCACCAGTGCCGGATTTTCACCAACACATTCTGTCCAGCACACCAACTGACCCAGTCCTGCTCTCTACATCCCTAAGTATTGTCCAGAACACAACAGCAGTAACACCAGAGGACATATTGGTACACGGTAGCCCTGGAGAGGAGCATGATCTTGAGGATCTTGCTGCTCGACTTATAACTAAGGTCATCTCAGCTGCCACCCAGGAAGTCCTTAGTGTCACAAGTTGCCAGGTTGTGGACAAAAGTCTGCCTAGCTGCAGTAGTGGTGGACTATACCCAGAGCTCGAGCCAATCATAGCAACACAGAAACACCATCATCTCTCGACAAGCCCTTCTCAGGTAGGCTGTGATTGTAGAGAGGCAACAGAAAAAGAAGCGCAAGCAGTGCCTAATGGCTGCTCCTCATCTCCAGTATGGAAATCTGTTGATGTCAGTCACATAAATCATCAGAAAAATGCTGTTCACAGCAGCCACTGGTCAACACAGCTGCCCCAAGAAGCACAAACCTCACCTGTGTTGAACATTAAACTAAAAGGTGACGAGGCTGCTCCGCTGGCCGAGGACTCAGCCTGCAGCACCTGCCACTCTGAGGATGGCATTAGCAGCGAGGATCTTCAAAGCAGCTTGTTTGACAACCAAAGTGATGTGATCCAGCTTACAGACCTCTCTGCAGGAGAAGCGGCACAGGGACAGGTGCAGGCTGAGAGTTTGACAGAGGGCTTAGTTTTGTCTGCAACTGAAGAAGACTCTTTGGATGCAGCGTGTGAGATAAAGGGGCTAAATGCAGTAGGTGTAAGGAATGGAGCTCATGGGACATGTGAAGTAGAGACGGATCAATCTGGAGGTGAGATTCTCTCTCACTGACTTTTATGTTTGTCATGATAGCTAATTTTTATTTTATTTTTTATTTGAAGAATGATAACAGTGAGTTAAGAAATGTGGTGTACATCAGCAGATGCAGTATTAGTAGTAATTTGTTACACAAACTCATAACTCGGAACATATAGAGGCTCATTTGGCCTTTTTTTTGCAGTGTATTCCCGGTTATCGAGCAGTGGGTCAAAGAAGTGCCCAAGAATGTGATGCCTGTTAACAAACATGTAAATTAGGACAGTGACAAGATCAAAACTGATGATGCCGGGAATCTGAAAATTCAGATGCTGTCATGCTGAGATTGATTGTTTCCATTGCCAGGTTCTGATGTAAACAGTATGGACTCTGTGGATAGCGGATGCACTATGGGTGCCCTAGAGAGTAAGGGCAACCATGCTGCCTCAAGCACTGGGCTGATCATCTGGGAGATTGAGGTACCAAAGGTGAGTAAAGACAATTCATGTGAAATACAAAACCATATATTTTGTCCATGATTTCAACGCTGTACACCTCACACTACTCAATTAAAATGTTAATGTATTGTATGCAGGAATGCTATCATGATTCTACAACTAGGCAAATTTACTTTTCATAATTGTAATGCATTCATAAGAAAGCAACTTAAATATTGATTAGTGGATTTTGCAAGACATGCTTGTTTGGTTAATTGGGCACATGTGAGGTAGATGACTTTTTATTGCATATAGAATAAAATCCTGTCTGAATGAGACAAGTACCGTGTAAAAGCCTGTCCATATTGGCGATTCTTCTCATCAGCATCAGGAATATTTTGAAATATTTTATTAAAAAATATAAATATAAAGAAATAAAAATACTTTTGTTTTGAAGTAGAAGTATAGCAAGCTTTTGACATAACTGTGTGACACTTGGAGTTGGTGGTTCGCTCCTGTATTGAAGATGTAATGAAAGAATAGCTGTAAAAATCAGGGTCACTGGACGAGCACCAAATTTGGCCAATGCCTATCTACTTGGAGGTACTGTAATTTTATTAAGGTAAACTTTTTACATGGCTTCATTGGATAAAGTAAAATTACTGTACAAAAAAATAGCTTATTATGGAATTACCAGTAACTGAAACAAATCTTCCCAACAACTGGGTTGAATAGAATGTTGGACCACTCAGGACCGTAAGTAAAGGGGAAAACTTTTTTTTTTATTGGTTACAATTAGAGCAGGGCGATATGGCCAAAAATATTTATCACGATATATATTTGAAAATTTGCGATAACGATATAACCGACGATATAATTGATGCGAGACAAAATACAACTCCACAACATTACTAGCGCAAAAGACAACC